CGTTTGCAGGTGCCCATTTTAAAGGTGTTCAGTTTTCAGAACGTGGATGGTCAGTGCTTTCTGAAAATCAGGCCTCTATAAAGTGCCTGAAGTTCAACACCTGAAAAACTGTGATTTTAAATGTCTCCAGTTGGTTTTGAAATTACTGGTCTAATCTTCTAAGTGTCTGTGCATTGCTTTATTATAGATATTAAACTACTTACTTGAAATTATATTGTGTTTGCTGAACTGTGGGATTTCCTAGATTTGAAATGTTGAAACACGTCTACTTAAACTGTTGATTAGACATTTTAATCACCTAGCAATCCTTGGTTTTGTAAATTCAATCTTCCTGCGGGAAGCAAGTACTCATTAACTGACTGTAAACAGAGTTTAACGTCTTTAAGTATAAGTGCTTCTTAGTTCACAATTTGCTTGTTTAAAATAACTGATTAAAGGGTTTTATTCTAATATAACAAATGGGATCTGTCTGCCAAGAGCACAGGTGGTGGAAGAGAAGTGATGTTGACTGACATACTGCATGGGGATCTTTACAAATAGCAAGGTGTTTCTGCTTAATTTGGTTGATACGCTTTTTATACAAGTAGAAAGTGTTACCAATCATTATTTTACTGATTGTCAGTTTTAGAGGAGAGTAGCTACAGAAAACTTTCAGTAAAAGGAACAATTCTGCACGAATTGGACAATAAGAGAGAGCCGGCGCTCCTTGGGTCTCTGTCCTTGATTGTTGCAACTGTAGGTTGTACATCAGTAGCTGAATGGATGTTGAAACTTCTTGTATAATTTTTTGAGCATTTTGCCAATACAAGAAACACTAAAACGGCTCTATGGACCTGAAGAAGAGCAACCTTGCAACATGACAGAAGCACCAGTTATGCAGAACACAGAGTAAATAATTTACAGAAAGTTCAAAAATGCAAGAGTGCTTATAAATTAACTCCATTAAATACAGGCAATTCAAACGTGAACAAGAACAAGGGTTAAAAAGTATGTAAGCTGTAATGAACAGGAGTTAAAACATAAGGAAGGCAAGCTGTAATTAACAGGAACAATTGTAGAATGGTTTGGGTTTTGTTGTTTTTTTTTTAAGTCTTTGAACAGTTTGCAGAAAACATAATGAGCACTTCTGGTACAGGTGAGAAAGTGATCATTGGCAGGAATTTTACTTCCCTGTTGTGCAATCCTGTAATCTCCCACAATGATGACATGATATTCCTTCTTCCCAAACTTCAAAGACATTCGTTCACCCTTTACGTTGCAATGGGTGCAATCCACAGTACTGACTCTACAGCACTTACCCTCCAGACTTTTACTTTTTCAAGCCACATCAACTATGATTTGCTCTCAAGCCCATAGGAATTTGTCTCGCAATGAAGTCTCTGTGGCCAAGTGAAAGGCAGGGCTGAGATTATTTAGTCAGGTAAACCCAAAAGGGCTATTATTTTTGTTTAGAAACATGCGTGAGGTTGGGGAGGTTTTTTCTGTAGTTTAACATATACTGAGCTATTTAGGTCAGTGAAAAAAAAAAAATGACTAGCTTTAACATTAATAGAACTGACTCTAAAAGGTGCAGTATTTGCTAGAAGCATGGTTTGCCAAGGAAACTACACATTACAGGGAGCCTGCTTTACCACTGCATTATACCAGCTTGACACGGGTGCAACTCCACCGGGAACAAAGCTGCACCTGGAGGAAGGTGCAAAGGGAGAAGCACCCGACGCAAAGTTTGCAATTCTTTGCCGACACGGCTCTACTGCTTCCCGAGCCGTCTCTTTAGCGCGTGATATAATCCTGTCATCCGACCCCATGCAGAACAACTGCCCCTTTCGTGCCCCTGTGCAGAACGACTATGAAACGATGGGTAAATACGAAGCCCCACAGCGTGTCCGTGGCTCGTTCATAGATGTAGGGTGGGAAGGGACCGGAGCACATCATCAAGTCCGACCCCCTGCCGTGGGCAGAAATGCGGAGAAGGACACGGAGGCGACGTGATATAACCCTTTCTATCATCCGACCCAGGCAGCCTTTCTTGCCCCCAGCGCGGGGAGATGCTCTGTCCGGCCCTGAACAGCTATGAATCGATGGGTAGATACGAAACCTCCGCGGCTTGTGTGTCGCCACCCTCCCAAAACGTGACCGCGGTCCGTGTCAACGTCCCCAAGCCTGGGCTGACAGCTCGGGGTCCGAACTTTTCCAAGCGACGCGCAAAAACCCTCCCGCCGCGCCCGTGTGCGGGGCAAAGACAGAGCAAGGGGTTGGGTATGAAGGACCTCCCCCCCAAAAAGGGGACTGGACAGCTGGAGGATGCTTTTGGGTCTGGACAGGTGGAGGAGGAAGGGAGGGGGGAAGGAGCCGGCTCTTACCAGGCTGCGGAGGGCGAGCGGCAGCGGCAGGAGCAGCAGCGGCGGCAGCAGCAGGAGGGTTAAGGACTTGCAGGGCACCAGCGACCTCGCCCAGCGCCGGACCATCGTCTGCGGGAGCGGAGCGAGCGGGCGGCGGGACGGGACGGGACAGCGCCTTTATACGAGCCCGGCCGGGACAGCCCCGCAGCGCAACGCAGCGCCCCCTGGCGGCCGGTCCCGCCTGCAACCCCTCCGTGCAACCCCCTGGATGATGCGTGCCCCCCGGCCTAAACCTCAGTGCTGCTCGCCCCCTGGTGCATGCCCCAGTGATGCTCACCCCCCTGGCCTAAAACTCGGTGCAACCCTAGTCCGCACCCCACTGATAACAGCCCCCCCTGGCTTGCCCCATCCTAAGCCTCTAGCCGGGCGTCGAGGAGCACCTCCAGGCGGCAAACTCCAGTGGTGCCCACTCCCAAGCCACACACCTGTTGCTGCGGGTGAACGTCCGCCTCGACGTTTCGGGAAGCCTCGCGCAGCTGCAAGAGAGAGGCGGACGTCAGAGGAGCAAGCCCCCCTGGGCGAGGGGCGCAAGCCAAGAGCGGCTTGGAAGGGCCTGGGTGCAAGACGCAGCATTGTGTTGTCTGAGCGTTGCTACGTCAAGGGACTGTGTACACAGGTTAAATCAACAGGACTGAAAACCACCCGACTTCCTTGTCCCTTTCTTCTCCTCGCTGAAACAACCCACCCAAATCCTGAATTTGTTTGGCCAACTGCTTTGATTTGATCTGAAAGGGGTAACGCGGATGTAAGGCGGTGGTTCTCAACCTTATTAGGCTCCAGGCGCCCCTTGGGAAATGCCAGTGCCTAGTTTTTACTCGGGTTTTTTTGACTGCAGCAAAAAACCAAAGCACCACACTAAAGCAATTCTGCTGTTGCAAAGAGCTCAGAAAGACCCCAACAGGTCTGCGTGCTTTTGGCACTAGGGGTTCCCGTTTGAAAAGCTTGGGGTTTGTCCTGTGAATCATGTCTGTGCGCTGCACCATGCTAAAATTGTGTGGCATCCCACAGCAGCCTTAAAATGATCTCAAGGCACCCCAGGGTGCCATGCCACCTCGGTGAAGAATCACTGATTTAGGGGCAGAGCCTTACTTGCATGGGGGAGTTTCACTTGAGAAAAGACCAAAGATCTGATCCTGTGCTGCTTTGTACCTCACCTAGGACTGAACACCTGTGCCAAGCAGGGGCAAAATGGCACGAGGATATGGGGAGGTCTGGCTTGGTGGCACTTTTTATGCTCCAGGCTTGTCTTGCAAACGTGAGCGCCCAGCAGTGGGGAACCGGGGCTTGAGGATTTGACCCTGCAAAGTCTTATGGCATCCGTGGGGCTCCTCACGTAAGTGAAGGTTTGCATCCCCTGGATAGGAGTTTTTTTGCCTACGGTTTGCAGGCTTTGGCCTCCAAAGACTAGGCACTGCAGTAAAAGAGTCCCCAAACAAGCTGTTCCGATTTGACTGTTCTGCTTGTAAAAGCAGTGAATGCCCACTGAGAAAAGGGGGAAAAAAATAAAGGGAATAGCAGGCTAGAGCTGTACAGGCTCCAAATCTGAGCGGCAATCCTTCTGGGTAACTTAGGCCAGAATAGATACCACCCAGGTTGAGACGCTAAACCAGCTATAGCCTGCATTGCCACATCCTGTCTCCAGCAAAGAAGTGCTACCTGTCAGCAGCAGAAAACGTGCAAAACTCTTGTTTAAGAAACTGCCCCGTGGTAGCTCCTTAGCAAAGCTGTTCTGAGGTTTGCTGCCTCTTTTAGTTACCAGCACTAACACAGTTCATTGTCTTGGTGCCTCAGTGGCAAGGGAGCAATGATGAATAAAAGGAAATAAAAAGCAAAAGCAAAGCAGCTGAGGGGGAACAGCTGAACTAAGCAGACACCGGGAGGCTCTCGCTCGAGAAGCCCGATTGTAGGACTGGCATCCAGGAACTCCCCGTTCTGATGCCAAATGGCTTTAAACAAGTCATTAAACCGGCCTGTGCCTCAAGCTTCCCAGTTTGCAAAGCGAGAAAGGGGTAGTATTTCAACAGGAGAGTGTGGGGGCTTATTCTTAACCCCTCCTCCATGTGCCCTACAAAATACAACCGCCCCAATTCCATGGAAAGTAACTTAAAACCCCAAGCACTGGAGATTGGGGTTTCTTGAGTAACTGAGTCATGGAAAATCAGAGCAAAAAAAGGTGTGAGATATGAAAAAAGGACAAAGGGAGCAACCATCCTCTGGCTATCTGAACGGGAAGTGATTTACCTGAACGGGGCGACACGGGCAACGCGCCTTTAACAGGCGAAGGGAAGGAATCCTGGGGCTGGGAGGTTCCCTGGGGTTTCCAGCAGCAGTTGGGCTTGGGCAGTTGCAAGGAAAATACTGAGAAAAAATTAACAGTGGGATCTTTTGGGAGGAAAAAGGAGGCAAAGGCAGGGAGCCAAAAACCAATAAAATAAAATAAAATAAAAGGACACCAGCAGGGTTCCACGGTGCACATCAATTTAAGAGGCAGCAGGAGAAGTTTATCCCAGTGCAGATGCAGGGCAAAGGCATTAGCGTGCTACCTGAACCATGCACTCAGATGCACCAGAGTGACGGACAACCTGACGATTTGCTGATGTGCAGCACTTTGGCAATGAAAATAAGAGAGCCCGATGGGGAGGTGAGAACGAGACCTTCAAACAGGCTTGCTGTGCTGAGCCGGGTGTAAAGGGAGCGGGGAGCATAAGTGAATGAACTGCAGGGGAGGAGAGGGGGTTACAATGCAGCCCATGCCAGAGAGCTGTGCTGAGAAGCTTGAACTTGATCCGGCAGAGAGGCGGCCAGAGGAACATGTTTGATTTGGCAAGTCCCCCTCTGCTCCCCATCCCCCACGAGCTGTGTATAGCCTGGAGATGCATTGGTGTTGGCCAGATCAGACAGCGCTGTGAGGTTGTCAGCTCGTTCACGTAACTTGCCCGGAAATCTTCCCGAGCAGCCTGCCAAGGGAGTGGGGAGCCCTGGTTGCCTGCTTGCTTGCTACCCAGCTGACAGGCAGACTACAGGAATCACAAGGAGCTGCTGAGAAACGCTCCTGCTTACAAAGACCCAGCGCCAGGAATTTGGGAGGTTTCAAAACAGGCCTTCAAACAAAAACCTCCCACCTGCTGAATTTCACTGCAGGCTAATTGAGCCTTCACAAAAAAAAATATCATTGCCTTCAGGCAGCACCACAGACTACAGCGGGAGCAGAGCAGTGTTTCCAAAAAACCCCGAGGCTGCAGCCTTTAACTGGTTTGAAGTGGCAGGTAGAATTGGCTTGGGGCTGCAGGTACCATTTAGGAGCTGCAGCCAGTGACCATCCTAGTCCCTTCTGCTGGACAGCAGCTCTCGTAGGATACTTCTCAATCAGTACATTGCTTGAAGTTGGTCAGTACCATTATCCCCATTTTACAGATGGAGAAACTGAAGTACAGGGAGGGGATGCGATGGGATTTCAAAGCACACTTATGAGTCAAGCTTCATGGTAGCCCTAGGATTGTTATTGCCATTTCAGAGATGGGTAAGCCAAAACCAAGGACGTCTATAAAGATCTTGCCCTTGAGAGAACTTGGGCAAGGACTCAGATCTCCTGACTCCTGAGATCCCTTCCCCTTATTTTATGGACTTAAAAATGAAAGTCGGTTCGACTTGAGCAGTCATTGTAGATGTGTCAACCATCATGTCGAATGTTGCAGCAAAATAATTAGCAACGGGGCTGATATGTTTGTAGTGTCTGAATTAAGTAACCCGTGCATCATCAGAAGAAAAGTCTCTTTGAAAGGGAAGAGTTTCAAAACCACCCTAACTCCAGAGAATAATTAGGGAATAAAGGCTATTTAGTGTAACCTAACTCATTTCCAAGAAACTACTTTTTAGGTATATCTTGCTGAACCACTGATCCCACTGGCTAATGTTATCTCTAGACAAGAGTGGGCTTTGGCAGGGAGGTAGCAAGTAGCATTTAGAGGCAGAAATGATTTCCACCCAGCCCCTACTTTCAGTCCAAACAGTGAGCGACCACACAAGAACAAACTCTGCAAACAGGATGTCATTGTGCCAACACAGCCAGATTAACCTATACAGCTGCTAGCTCCACTCCAAACGCACTCATGCTTCAATTTGTTTTAAAGCAATTAAAATGTTGCAGCAGCACTACTGCAGCATTTGGAGGTACAGAAACAATGGAAATAGCAAAGGACTGCAAGATCTTTGATACTTAACAATGAAAAAGAAAAAAAAAAAAAAAAAAAGGCCGCCCCTGAAACTTCCTAGGTTTTGGCAGAAAAGGAACATACTATCTTGTTGCGTGAGAGTTACATTTAAAAAACAACCCGTTCAGAACTTACCTTTGTGATGCTTGACTTGATCGGTCACCTAAAACAGATCTGAAACCATTATGTTATGCACTAGGAGGTTTACACAAGGCTTAAAAGTAAAAGAATGATGACTAGCATTCACGGGACATCACTTGTTCCTTACCTTGTTTTTTCTCCTTACTGAGAACATTTTACAGCCTCTGCCAGTCCACTGTGTTCCTTTAGGAGTATCCTTCAGCAAGGTTCCCAATGCAGCATCTGATATTTTTCCAAGTAGAGCTTTTGAGCCTCTGAACTTCAAGTTCTTTTGGTACAATCCCTGTGCCCAACAACTGGCTATACAAAAGCTCTCATTATGAACCTCAAGTCAATGGGGGTTTCCTCTGTCACGGTGCCATGCTGATCAGACTTTTGAGCCCCAGGGTGGTACTTCCAGTACAGTTTAATTGAAGCCCCAGGGAATTTCAAATACTGTACAGCAGAAAGACCGGGGGGGAAAAAAAGTATTTGATTGGTAATTGGCAATAGACTGTCTGCCTGCCTGCGACCCATTCCTTCTTGATGACTGCCATCTCATTTACATATTTTTTCAAAAGCCTTTTCTCTGCCTTGTTACATAATTTGTGTTGCAAAATGCAAACAAACACTAATTATTTCCAAGTCTGGACAATCAGTTACTGGTTTCTTCTTGTTATTTGGAAGGGGGTAGGAAGGACAAAGAGAAGAAGGCATTTGGATGGGCAGAAAATTAACCAGAGGGATTTGAAGTCTGATTTGGTAAGGAGAGCGTTTTGTACTTGCGTCCTGCGTAGCATGAGGAGGGATCCCACAAACGTTAAAATACACGATGTCTTCTAGCACCCGAGGGAATGAATAGCATCGCCCCCATTTTACAGAGGGAAAGGTCAAGGCTTACATTTCCAAAATGCCCACTAGTTTGGGGCATCCAACCTGAGACACTAGGGACCTGATTCCTCATTACCCCGCACCTTCTTCTGGGTCTTTCTCCATTCCTCATCACTGAGGAAGGGGGGCTTTTTATACCAGTGAAAAGTGAACCTAGTTTTCAGAAGCACTAAGCACATACCGGCCCCCTGGCTTCGATTCAGCTAGTCAAGCAAGGGAGAAGTGAAAGTCTCTGCAGGAAAGAGACTGTTGCCATTAATTAGAAAAGGGATGCCTGATATATTCATGTCAAAAGAGTCATTTGCAATGAAACAATAACCACAAGGCTGCGCAAAGACAAGAGCAGAAATCCAGATTATTGCAATTATTGCATAGACAAGCCATTCCCCTGGCTTGTCTAGAAGTCTGCCTGTCCATCCTTAGGACGGGAGTCCCTCAGAGCAGGGGCCATCACATCTTTTATGTCTAGAAAACAACTAGCAGATCATGGTTGCTAAACCAAACACTAAATACTAAATATGGTCCTTTCAGTGGACATAATGCTTTCATACATATTTCACATTAGAGTTCAGTCTATTCATACAGAGCTTACAAAGAAGTATTCAGTTATTAAATCAACAGTTGTAGAATTCAACAAATCAATAAGTCGTTTAAAATCATCTGTGTTGCCATCTTGTGCTGTGGTTATAGCCATCAATGACGCATCCTGTCCGTCACAAGCTTATAACCTGTGTCAATGCGCTCTTTATACACCGTGTATAAATGGTACCTTAATATAAGAAGAACTAATTTGTTTCCATTATCAGCACTGAGGGGATCTCGCCTTCTCATTCACCGATATGGGCTTTTCAAGCCTTTGATTCCCTACAGTTTCCTGAAGATAACCATAGCAGGAGAGAAATGAAA